TCCTTAAACACGGGTCTACTCAGTTTAAAAATTGTTCCCATGTGGCCAGTCTTTTAGGGCCTTCCTGTCTGGTGGCACTTGGATGGCCTTTATACTGTGAGTACAATGCTTCCTGTGAAAATGCTGACCTTTGATAAGCACTAAGTAGGTACATTAGCTTGGTCAGAGACTCTCTTGGAATAAGTCACTGGGGGACTGCAGAAATGTCAGCTATGTCTGGAATATCAGTTTGGTGGCCTTGCAATGTGGGTACTTTCCTGTTTCAGAATAAGGTGCTCAGTTTCACACCTCGCTTTTCATCTTCCACATGTTGACCCTAAAACGCTTTTCTTTCAGGTAATCATGTTTCTGCTGTAATGAAAACTGTCCTCTAGGTGGTGCCATTTGCAACTCTCTGTCTTCCTGGGCCTGCTTGCCTTGGCCAGACAGCTGTGCCAGCAAGCTCTGCACAGAGCAGTTCTTTCCCAGCTCTTGTAGGATATGCAATGCTTTAGGCTGATTTCTACTTGGTCTTTCCGGTGACTAGCCGATGCCTATCAGTACTCTTTAGGGTTGCTTTGAACGGTGGCCTGGATCACTGCTCCTCCTTCCCAACTCCTAGCAATCTGTTCTCTATACTGTAGTCAGCAGCCAAGCGCTCCTCATTTCTCACTGTTGTCTATTCTTTTATGTTTGCCTACATAGATTATTAAGGGCTTTGTATGCCTCAGGCATCTGGCACTGGCAGGAGTGTGTTTGCTGTGGATGGAGGTTCTGGTATCCATTTGTTTATTCATTGCTTACTATCTGGTGTAGGATAGGCACTCTTTTAGGTGTCCTGAAAATAGGAAAAACAAGCAGCTCCTAACTGAGGAGAGGGAGAGGGAGAGGCAGAAGGAGGGGGAGGGAGAAGGGGAGAGGAGAAAAAGAGGGTGGAGGGAGAGGGAAAAGGAAGTAGACCATTACAGGGATGTGTGTGGCGCATGCTGTGAAACAGCCATGCTCAGTGAATCTGGGAACAGGGAGTGCAGGCTTTTGCTTCCCCAGGAACGCTTTTTGGGAGTGCAACCTTTTCACTCTTTGACTCTAGGTCATGCCCAGAGACTAAACTCTGTTTTTGACTGGTTTTCCTTTCCAGAACCAAAGGACAGGCGGAGTGATGTGATCATGGGGGTAGGTATCCCTTTCAGGATACCACAGAAGAGGTGATCGTCTTCCTGTGTTCCTCTGGCCTTCAGTATTCAAGCTCCTAGGGTTTTGTGGTTTGCTTTTCAACTATCTAGTGATTGCCCTTGAATTTTCAAAATGGCTTATTGTCTTACTGTTTGGGGATGATTTGGAATTACTTACTGACTTTTTAGTGGGTTAGATACTGCTTTATTGACTATTATACATGCTTATTCTTTAAGATGTACCTGAATGCCTTCTTTCCTGTGAAGTCTTTGGCAGTAATGAATTATCCCCTCCCTTTTAGTACCTTTAGGTTGTTACTTCTATCCCGATTTTAATACAAATTGATTTCTTTAAAAAAATATATTTTATTGATTTGTTTTACAGAGAGGAAGGAATAAAAAGGGATAGTTAGAAACATCAGATGAGAGAGAAACATTGATCGATCAGCTGCCTCTTGCACACCCTCTACTGGGGATGTGCCTGCAACCAAGGTACATGCCCTTGACTGGAATCGAACCTGGGACCTTTCAGTCCACAGGTTGACACTCTATCCACTGAGCCAAACCAGTTTTGGCTCATTTTGTATTTTATTATAGCTGTTCACAGCCACATTTCACATTAAGACTATATGCCTACTGAGGGCCAGGATCATATTGTATTCATATTAGTATTTCTCTCTTCCTGCACTTTCACCTTATTTACACATAGGAGGCAAGAGGTAAATGCTTGTTGGTTTAATGAACTAGGACTTTGTAACATCCATGTTTAGTTGTATATTTTAAAGAGTATTTGCCTCTAGAACATGGTCAACAACTTTAGTGGTTTCTACATGGATTTAGTTTGCTTGATTTGGGATGAATATTTGCTTGGCAAATGCTTTCCAGATATATATGCAAAGATTTCTGGAGAGATCTCAGCCCAGACTGGGAATTTTCTCTTCCTGTTTCCTTCTTGACAGCATATATGGCTTTATCCCTGGAGAGCCTTGGTTTTCCTTATTTCTTCCCAATATTTGAAAGAACATCCTCATAGTGATTTGTCTTAGCCTTTCAAATAGCTACTAGATGCCCAGGAGTGTCCCTATGCTGGGGACTCAGGGGTAAAACAACAACAACAGACTTTTATGTACAGTGAATTGAAACAGTTTAATTCCTTTCATCACAAAGTAGGTCAGTTCAGTCAAAATAAATTACCTGGTAGATTGATGGCATAGTCTGAGATACGTTTTCAAAAATCTCAGAGGATCCTTGGCTAGAAAACCCAAACACTTGAAGCTTCCTGACTGTCATTTGATTTTCTGGTGTTTTATGTCTCCGAAACCCAGTTATATACATATATTAGAGAAGGCAAACTTATAATTAAGTTTTCCTCCTGAAGCCATTTAAAATGTCTGTATATTGAATTTCAATGATTAATTTCATTAGTCACTTAATTTTAAAGTTTAATTTCATAGCAAATCTAGAGGCTTTCTGTAGGCATTCACAGAAAGAGAGTGAAGTTCGTCCTTTTTGTTCTCCTGACCAAGGTGAAATTTTCTAGGCTAAATATCCTTTAAAAAAGAAGCCTAAAGTATAGATCTTATGTCTCCATGACTTGTTTGATCTAAGTCCTGGCCAAGGGGGTGGGGAGTAGGAAGAGAGAGAGAGAGAGAGAGAGAGAGAGAGAGAAAGAGAGAGAGAGAGAGAGAGAGAGAGGGAGAGAGAGAGAAGTAGAGGGGTAGGGAGGAAGGGAGAAAGAGCAGGTCAAGGGGTGGAGATAATGACAAATGAAAGAAGGCAGTTAGTACACATCTGTCATCCAAGAATCCTCTGTGGGTTTTTGACCTGTAAGCAATACAACAGTCATGACCTTCCTTTAAACTCTGGACCAGAAGGTTGCACCAGAGACATCTCAGAGAAAACATGCAATGTGTAAAAGGGAATCCCTTCATAAAATGCATTTTACTTTCAAGATCTCAGACCCCATTAAGCCAGGAAGCAATGAGTTTTACCTATTTTACCAAATGAGCAAGGAGATTTTAGGGGGCTATTTTTTCAGTCTTAGTATCACAGCAACACATGCAAACAACATTCTACAGTAAACGGCCCCGACTGAAAGTGGAAAAACAAAATACTAGAATAAAATTTTGCTGGGGTGGGGGGTGGGGGCGTAGTCTTGGTTTCCTCATTTATCTGTTTCACTCTTTCTGTGTCTTTTCTTCCATATTATTTTGCATTTCCCCAATTTCCCCAGCGGTCACCCATAATTCAATCTCCGTCCAGAAGGGTAAATTCAATTACTTGGCTGTTGAACATCCTGTGCCTTTTCAAAAACAAGAGGACGGAGTGAAAAAAATAATAAAAAATCAAAAATCCCCCAAACAACCTCAATGGCATGAAAAGTTGGAAGCTATCAGGAAGAAGCTCTTGGAAACTTGGGCAGCTCCTCCCCACCCCCCCTTTTTTTTTTGCTTTTGCTCAGGATTTAGATTTCGATGTCCTGCAACTTTGTGGACTGTCTCGCCTATGAGTCACCCCCCACCCCTACGCCGTGACAATTTCTCTTCCCTATAGCCGTCCCCCACGATCTAGTCCATGCACCTTATTTTCTACTACTGAGCCGGGGTCCGAGGTGACGCCAGACACTTTCTCACCGAATGGCGTTTTAGAAACAAAACCGGGAGAGAGGACAGAAGTGGCTGCGGCCCCGCGAGCACCTCGGCCGCCCGCCCGCCCGGAGCCGCGACGGCGGGGCCCGGGCTCGCGGAGCCGCATCCCGAGGCCGCGCTCCCGGGCCGGGGGGCTGAGCGGCGGGCAGAGCCGCCATATTCCTGCCTTTCCACTCCCCGGGGCGGCAGGTTGGCGGCTCCAGCGGCTCGGGCAGCGCCTCGGCGGGACCCGGCCCCGCCCCGCCCCGGGGGCGACCGTGACCGCTGCACCCGCCGGCCCCGCGGAGCGGAGAGCGCGGGCGCGGGAGGCGCCGGGGAGCCCGCGGGCCGGCCCAGCCCCGGAGCGGTGCGCGCGGCGGCGACGGCGGCTGCGAGCCCGGGAGAGCCTTCCAGGAGGGGCCGGGCGGCACCGCCTCCCGCTCCCTCCGCCCTCCTCCCGCGCCCATTCTGCCTCTCCTCCTCCTCCTCCTCCTCCCCCTCCTCCCGCCGCCGCCGCCGCCGCCGCCGCCTCCCTCCCGGATCTGTGCTCCAGTTCAGAGAAAGAAGAAAATGTGTGTGTGTGGCGAGGGGGAGGGCGCGCTCTGAGCGCTCGCTCCGCGCCTGGCAGCCGCGGCCGGGGGAGCGCGCCGGCGGGGGCGGGGCGGGGCGGAGGCGGGAGCGGCGGCGGCGGCGGCGGTGGGCGCGGGCAGGGCCGAGGGCGCCCGGGAGCCGTGTCGGGCTGCGGGCAGCGGGGAGCCGTCGGCGGCCGCTCGCTGCGGAGACGCCCCGGTGGATGTGCTCGCGCCGCCCGGCGCAGGGCGTAGGGGAGCCTCGGCGGCGGCGAAGGCGCAGGCGAAGGCGCGGGGGGCGAGGCGGCCCGCCCGTGGCCGGGGAAGGAAGCCCGGGCGTCTGAGCGAGGCCGGGCGCGGCGGCCTTTCCTCGCGCGCCCCCCTCTTCTCCTCCTCCCCCCAAACCCCGATCCAGCGCCTGTGGCCGCCTCCGGTGCCTGCCTCGCTCCAGCCGTCGCTCCTGCCGCTCCCCCGGCCCCGGCCGCGGCCCCCGCGGCGCTTCCCGGAGCTCGTCCCGGACGGACGCGCGCCCGGCCGGGCGGCGGGGTCTCGGCGGCCGCCGCTGCCTCGGGGGAGCGCGGGCGGGAGGGTGTGTGTGTGCGCGCGTGTGAGCAGGGGGTGCCGGCGGGGCTGCAGCGGTGGCACTTGGAAGAATGACTCTGGAGTCCATCATGGCGTGCTGCCTGAGCGAGGAGGCCAAGGAAGCCCGGCGGATCAACGACGAGATCGAGCGGCAGCTCCGCAGGGACAAGCGGGACGCCCGCCGGGAGCTCAAGCTGCTGCTGCTCGGTGAGTCCTGCCCCGGGGCCGGCGGCCGCGAGCCCTCCCGCCGGTGGACGCCCCCCACTCGCCACCCCGGGGCTCCCGGGGCAGCTGCCCCAGTGGCCTCCGCCCCTGGGAGCTCGGGGCTGGTCATGACCCTCCCCCGGCGCGTCCTCGGGGCCCCTACCCGCACTGGTTCGGGCGCGCGCCCGGTGACACAGACAGACAGACAGACAGACAGACACACGCACACACACGCGCGCACGCAGAGGGGTCGGGCTGCCCTGCCTCGGGCCTGGGCTGGCTGGTGCCTTCGGGTGTCCCTGGGCGCCGTGCATTCGGGGTGCGCTTTCAGCGACTGTGAATCAGCTCGATGGCAAATCGCTTGGTGGGGCATCGGTGCGGGGGTGGCCAGGTGGGCGGAGGGGTTGAACTTGCAGTGTCGTGGCCGCGGTGCCCCGTGCGATGGTGGAGTGGGGAGCTGTGTGTGTGTGTGTGTGTGTGTGTGTGTGTGTGTGTGTGTGTGTGGCTCCGGGGTGCCAGCGGAGCCAGTGCACGTTGGGGGATGGCGTGTAGCGGGGGTGGCCTGTGTGCATCCATTATCTGCGTCTGGGGTCCGGCCGGGGAGAAGGGTGGATGGAACACGGTGGACAGACTCGCGGCTGGATTCTCCCAGGAGCGGCGATGAGGGCGCCCGGTGGCGGTTCCTCCAAAAGAAAGGAGGCTTATGTGCTGGAGGGCGGGGAGGCGAGCCCAAATATGTCACGCAAGTGCTATGCGCGAGCCACCTGACCGCCGAGAGGAGGGACCCCAGAAGAGTTTCTTGACCAGCGGATGGTGGCAGGCATGTTGCTCCTCTGCACCATTCTCTCCTGATTGAGGAGAGGGACAGGGGAGCGCGGTGCTGTGTGTGTGGTTGTTGACAGCGATTGGTATCTTTTGTTTCCTGAGACAACCCAGATGTAGGCCTACATTCACAATAGTTACGACTGAAAACCAGTGTAGCCTCTTAATTGCGCTCCTGGAAACAAATAGAAACCTTTTGTTCAAAACGGACAGCATTTTAGTATCTGGGGAACCTGGGTTAGACGCAAAACGAGAAGTGCATAGCACACATTTCCCTTGAATCTCCTAAAGCACATACCATGTTTCCTTAACACTTAAGTTAGCAAGAAAATGTTGGTTCTCAATTTAGGAATTCTATTGATTATTATCTCAGAGAATGTTCAGAACCAACGATCAGGGTTCCCATTCAAGCCGGTGTAACATAACTGAGTTATTGTGGTTGGGAAGAGCAGCCAGCTTTGCAATTACAGGCCTGAAAAATGCCTGCACTTGTGTCCAGTGTGCTTGCGTGTATAATAAATATGTTTCCCAGACATTTTTGGAAGAAAATAATGATATTGTCAGTTGGGATTTGAGACACAGGCGTTTTCTTTCTTATCTTGAGCATTCCATCTCTTGGTTCAAGGACCCAGTTGTCTTTTGGACGGAACTGCTTATGTGCTGGATCACTTACAAGCAGAAACAAAATATAACGATCACAAGTAGTTGCCAATGGTTACTTCGCATGCTATGCTGTACGTCTTCATTGTGAAACCAGATTAGATAAATGTGCACATGCTTATAAAGAACAGAAAGCCGAGGGCTGGGTAAAAGAGTGGGCTTTGGGAAATGAAACCAGGGGTGGGGAAAATGCAATGGGGAAAAGGAAGATCTTTTAATTTTAAATTTTAATATTCATTTTGGGCTACGTCTGATGGCTGAAAGTGCTTTCTGAATTCGTGTAGTTGAGAAGAAAATAGGGCAAGAAAGAGGTATAGAGTGTTTTCGTGCAGGACTGAGGGAAAAAATGTATTTTAGAGACACTTAAGAACAATGTTCTTTTTCTTCTTCCCTGTTCACAGCCTTTACTTGTTTCTGTTTAGCTTCGAATCAGTCGGTTGAGGTCTCTCAAGCCCTCCCTGTTGCCTGAAATGTGACAGCTCTGAGTTCCCAGCAGCTGAGTTAGAGCCCTGTGGGCCCAGGTTTCTATGCCTAGGGAGGTATTTTGGGGAAGTACACATACAGGGATGCTTCATCACATACTGAGTATTTAGATAACATACTGTGCTTTAAAAAAATGAACTTGCAGATAGAAAAAAAAACCCCAATTAAATCAGTTTTACTGCTAAAGAGTCGAGACTACTCCCCCCCAATCCCTTATTAGATATTTGAGTTGGGTTTAATATTGCCCCACCTCGGCCCCCAAATGTAGCCTACTAGAAGTGGTAGAAAACTATAACTTCCAGTTAGCACCTAAATTCATTCGTAACATGTAAAAATTATACAGCTTTCTATTAGAAATAGGATGCTTAGACATCACGTAAGATTTGCTACAGTTTCATATTCTAGGCATGTTGTTTTGTAACATAACTTCCGCAGCACCTATACTATTTATATAGTAAATGTTATATACTAAATGTAGGTTTTCGCGAGCGTGTGTGTGTGTGTGTGTGTGTGTGTGTGTGTGTGTGATTGATTTCAAGATTTTCTTCAGTCCAGGAGAGAAATGAACAAGGTTGATATTAACAAGTGATGGTATTGGAGAGAGGTTTCTTTTGAGAACTCTGTACCTGCTGCTTTCACGAGTTTTGCTGTTCCTTCACTTTTTTAAATGATACCTATCCAAAGGAGGTTACAGGATGTATCATTTCACAGTTGAAAGAGTCACCGCAACTTTCAACTAGTTTATTTAAATCGAGGAATCACCCTTATATTGAAATAAAATTCCTTAAACAATTTTAATGGAAATGGATTTATTTGGCAGGAAACCCTTGCATTTGTTCACTTATTAAATTTTATATGTTAACAACATGGAGAAATTAGAAAGGGAAATAGTGATTATCTACCTAAATGAAAGGATAGCAGTAAAATTTGGGCTATTTTGATCCATACCCAGTAATTATGACAATGTGTTCCAAATTCTGCAGTAGTTACATATTTTGATTTTTTTATTCTTTTAAAAAAATGAACCCAGAAACCTACCACCATAAAATATATTTAATTCTGAATTATTTTCTTGTTTCCTTAAATGTAGTAATTTATATTTGTATTTATTTTCTTTGACAACTTTGAAAACTTTTTTTTCTACACATGCGTGCAAAGGAATACTTTAACTCATTGAAATGTTTCTATACTTTCTTAGTATAAAGTATATTTTATTTCCTTTAATTGATTAATAGTCATGAATATTGATAACTAAATATTTCTATTGGTGGTTCATAGGACACACTACAAAATATCAACATCTTTAATTCTGGATAATAGAAGTGGTTTTGATTGTCTGCTTCTAGACACAGGTATTTATCCTGGATTTTTTTTTTTTTAAATTTTATTCCTTGAAGATACATTCTATTTCCTACCTGTTCTGATTTTACATGCTTTTGAAATCTTTACTCCTCAGATCTTAATTATTAAATATGAAGATTTACAAAACATTTTTATACATTGGGTTCCACCTTTTGAAATCAGGCGTAGTTTGGGCCAGTCTTAGATGGAAGAATATATGTGCTTAATATTCTAAATCAATTACATGTGTAGTTTTCTTCCTATTCTGGACTGGAGGCTTATAAAGGTAGGGACTGTGTCTGTATTGGTCTCTATTAAACCCCAGTTTCTAAGATAGTATCAAACTTACAGAATGCTCTTAATTAGTATTTGTTGAATAAGTAAAATTATGACCTTCATGATAGAAATTGGGACCATAAAATAATGAATATATTATACAGACATGGGGATATGCAATGTTTTCTATCTATGGCAGATAAATTCATGTTTTTTTTTTTTTTTAAACAAAATTGTATGTATCTTTTTGAGCCAATTGAATATAAATGCATTCCAGGCTAGGAAGTGTTAATATACAATGTAACATCACATATCAAAGCAGTGTATTACAGTACTGTGCTGGGGGCATTTGGGAACGATAGCCATGCTTTAAGCATGAAAGTTAAAAGGAAGAAGAAAAAAGAAACCATTCCATGTCTTGATTATTTTTTATTGTGTAGAAGCTAGTTTAGCCCTGTCAGCTTTTGGCCATACACTTTTCTCCATGACACACTCATCAGAATACAAGTGGTGACTGAACAGATTTTTAAGATTTACTTGTCGGTGACATGAGGAGAAACACATTGTTGAATGTAGAATTTTGGCAATTGCAGGTAGAAGAACATTTTAAATTTGAGAGGTGCACATTTGCGCTGAAAACTGCACAGATCAAGAAGGGACCCGGAAGGATGGGAAGGCGCTGGGTGGAAAATTTAGATTGTATGGAGAGCTCATTCACACAGGTCTGGGGGCAGACACTCCCTCCCGCCCCTCTGTAGGGTTTGATGGAGGGAGAAGAATGGGGATGTTGATTGCCTGAATTAACCTAGAGGTTAGTGGTTGTCTAGGATGGCCACTCAGAACCACAGAATGAAAGTGCCCTTCTAAGCAGCCCTCATGACAGCATCTCTCTGTAAACACCAAAATATGGTGTTTATGAGGCTGCTTTCACACCACACCGGTTTTATTTTTGCTACTCTTTGAGCTTTTAAGGGTTGAGTAGGTTTCTAAATGTCAGGATTTATTTGGACTCGTTTCCTCTTCCATTTTTTTTTTAAAGTGCTTATAGTTTATATCTGAAAAGTGAAGTGGGAGCATCCCTCATACAAACCAAAACTGTAGCTGACTTTTTTTTTTTTTTAATATATTTTATTGATTTTGTACAGAGAGGAAGGGAGAGAGAGAGTCAGAAACATCGATGAGAGAGAGTCATCGATCAGCTGCCTCTTGCACACCCCCCACTGGGGATATGCCCGCAACCAAGGTACATGCCCTTGACCGGAATCGAACCTGGGACCTTTCAGTCCCCAAGCCGACGCTCTATCCATTGAGCCAAACCGGTCCCGGCTGTAGCTGACTTTTAACAGAGCCTTTCAAAGTAAGATTTTTGCACTGAATTCCTTGTCTAGAGCTGCCATAGTAGCTGTCAATCCTGTACTTAA